ATATATATTAGGAGAGGGCAGGTCAGGAAGGACGTGGGTCAGAGTTGCTGCTGACTGACTCATCTCTTAAGTGTGGTGAAAGGTGCCGGGACAAGTTAAATATATGAATATCTTGGTAATTTCTTTCCTTAATTCATTAAATGCTAGTGAAAAGGAGGTAAACAGTAGTCTGTAGCTAAGCTATCTATGCTAAATGGTTGACAATCTCACAGAGTCTAGTCACCTCTCTTGGAGAAAAACTGAGTTACAAATTGACACTCTTGTCTTTTTCTCTCTCTGTCTCTATTTTTTGAAAACCTGATGCTATAATTTTTCTTAGTAGCATAGTAACTGCCACAGCCGTTTTTGTCTTCCACTGACTGCTCCTAACAGCATCACCATCAAGAGCTCCAAGCAGGAACGAACCATTTCATGCAGATCCAGGGGGGTTCAGGGCAAATATAGATGTGTGGGGTTTTTTTGGTCTGGGAGTGGGAAATATACAATTTTTACTGTTAAAAACAATCTTCAAAAACAAATTGACAGGGCCCCATTTTTTTTTTATTTCTTTGAACAAAAAAATAAAAAAATAAATTGTGGAGGGCCCCCTGTCGGTTAGGGCCCTTAGAATTGTCATCACTTTTCACCCCTATATTGCACCCCTGTACTTGCCCAACACATTTATTTACAAATAGAACATCATAGTAACAGTTTATCACAATGCTGGTAGTGTGTTGGTCTGCAGTTGCTGTGTTGCCTCAGGTTCTGGGCAAATAACTCTGCTTGGTTTACAGATTGATTGCACGCAGCATTTATTGGTGACATTCGCTCAGAGTGGCAGCTGCCAAATTGAAACAATCATGTGACAGCATTGGTGCTTTGGTTTGTGATGTCAAACCTCAACAATCGGTACATGTCTCTGTGTGCATAACATTGAAGGGCGCTCATTGTTTGCTTCTTGATGAATGGACTTGTAAATCATAATGTTTGTAATACTGTGCGTGTCACAGTCATAGTGAAGGAGAGTTGAATTCAGTTCAGGGGGAAAACATATTATTGTACAATTCTTAATGCAATGCCTCCTGCCAAAAACATTGAGTTTTGTGTTAAATGGCTTGGCAGCCGTTACTGCTGTTCAGTGGCTTCTGATCGGCCCCTGTACCAACACATACTGTGAACACTGCCTCACTTCATTTAGTTTTAACCTTCTGTTTTACTGTTCATATAGTTTAAACATTCTTCCTTTTAACTTAAATGTCTTATTAATTGGAAGATTAAAAAAATCTCTCAAAGTTGGATATATATTGATACATTTTACCCAAACCACAACAAAGATTTATTAAAGCGGACAGTATTGTTTTCCAACCACACAGTGCCATTTTATAGCACAGTCAACTAACCATGTTAACTTCAGTGGTTAAAAAATACTTTAAATTTCAAACATGACTTAAACAAAATTTGACTTTGCAATTTAACGCCTTGAAATTGGGCTTCTTTCTCTTTCAAATCTCCTGTTCTTTCTGAATCTCCACCTCGAGGAAGTCATCCCAACATGGCTCCTCTATTAACCCTTTAACATCCTTTTTCCCAGCGCGGCTCTGAGCAGCATCTTCTATAATGAGCTCAGCAATTCCACCAGCTGTTTATTAATTGCTGCTGGCTAGTCTGAAGGAGTTGAGTGAGAACAGCTCTGATTTTCATGTTGTCATAACTGATGTAAAATTATTCTTATTCACTCCTAAATCTAAATTCACAGTGGCTGGGAAATCCTGTTTACTCTGACTGAGCATGTCAAGTTGCACGTAGATGTATAGACTCTGCCGGAGAGGCAGAGGGGGGAGTTCATTAGTTCATTAATGCTGAAACCGTTTAAGGAAATTTGCTGCCCTTTTGCCCAGTAATAATAATAAACACACATCTGTTTTTGTGACCCTGAGGGGACAGCAGAGATGAATGACTGCAAGAGCATGAACTTCCTGTCCTCATAGATGAGAAAATGCATGTAATGTAAATAAAAGTGCAATGTTATCTTTAAACTAAAAGCAGCACAATATGTCCAGAGATTACTTTACAGTTAATAAGTCCACTCAAATTATATTAATTTTTCCTTTATTAGAAAAGAAAATCAAGTTTATCTTGTAGTCGAAACAATTATTGCTCAAGTTGCCGACTTGGTTCTTAACGTGAAGTGTTGTTTGGTTTCTCCCTCCTTTAGAGACATGTGGATGAGCCTCGCTCTCTCACTCGTGGCTGCCTTGGCGCTGGGTACAGAGGTGAGTGCAGCTCACTGTAATGCTTTTATGTCAGAACATGGGGCTTAACAGCTGTATTTATTGGTAAAGATAATGTTTTTGGTTGCGCTACACCCAGGTCTCGGTCCCTCAGGATGTGGGCTCACTGGATACAGCTGAAAAGCCAGCAGACGAGGCAGATTTCAGCTATGTTGATTTAGCTTCCCTGTATGGAAATTCCAGACCTCAGATCTTGAGGGCTCAGTATGAATGCTATCTGAAAATGATTCACGAGCCACTTCGCACAGATGAAGGTGAGGAAGGTCATCATTTGGCCACTTGTCCTTTATAGCATTATATACAGCATTTTTTTGTGTAAAGCAAATCTGTGGGCCATATCAGACAGAAAAATGTGTTTAATGGCAGAGAAAAATAAAATAAATATATTAATTTCATGAAATAAATGATGGTTTTAATATCTACATTTATATTTGTGCTTTCAAGCTTCAGTATGTTACTTTTCCAAATTTTGTTTTACATATTTGTTGAAACTGTTACCATGTCGTGACAGTATACTATGAGAGGCAATACGTGAAAAAGTTTAGCTCCTCTGCCTTTTCCCAGTGCTCCCAATGCTAACTGGAAATAACCAATCAGAACCAGGAGGTGGGTCTTAGTGGTGTCAATAACAATCATGTGTGATACTGCTCACCCCCCTGTCCTCCACTATCTGATACCGTTACAGCTTTTCACTATCAGCAGATCTTGTTGTGAATGCTAGGCTAGTTAGCATAGCCACCAAGGATGGCGGCTAAACTGTTTTCTTGTAACAATAAATTATTTCTCCAGTATTCGCACATTTAGCAGTGAGGACATGATGTTGATTGATAGCGCTAAGTCCCTCGTCCTGGTTCTGATTGGTTGTTTTTGGTCGGGATTATTTTATTTCTTCAGACGGCAATAATAGCTCAGGATTGGAATCTTTCACATAAATCATGAGCTTCTGCCCCATGAGTCAACTAATCTGGTTTGGTACCAAATAAAGACACCAAGAGAGTTACCTACTTGGTGTCTTTATTTAATATTGTTGCTTTCAGTCTTTCTAACAAAACTTCACTTCCAAAGTTCTGAAGTGTCTCTTTTATTTTGAGGGAGTAAAATGTAAAATATTGTTTGGATGAAATAAAGCGAAAGATAGTTACATGTAGTAAGAAAGCTATATATGTTGAAGATAAGATTTAAGATGTAGAAAATGCCATCTGCCAAGGTCATTTGTGTTTCATACCTTTTCTTTTACTTTCCTAAAGGCATTTGTTTTGCATGATTTTATGAGATGTTCCTCTGAGACTAAGGCTTTGGACAAAGTTACTAAGTTTGGAAAAATAATAATCTGATGTTTGAATATTTGAAAAATGTGTGGCTTGTTTAATTCTCGTTAAAATCCAAAGAGAGATGTAGGTTGGTAAAGAATCTGAATACATGCAGATGCACTGCAAGCTCCAGAAACAATTGGATAATATAATTTTTTTAAATTTAATTTTGACACCATTTACTTTAATTTAGTTATAATAAAGCATGAGACAAGAGGAACTGTAACAGAATCTTTGACAAGACTCACACAGAGCCACATTTGAGTGCTTAATGTTAAATATCTTCTTGAAAATCTGCAAGACTATAAACTGAGGGAGTGGTGATTATGTCAAGACAGATGGTAAGGAATCCTGGGAGCAGAAAGTGAAACCAACAAATAAAAACTCAACTCGAGAAAGAAAAACATTTTTTAAAAAAATGATTAGATTTTTATTTTCTATTTTGACAAATAAGAATGGCCAAGAATGAAACATTTCATAACCACCTAGCTGTGAGGCAACAGTGGTAACCATCTGAGAAATCCTCCAGTATTTAATGCATTTGCATATTTTAATGTGTATCAGACTTTCTTTACATGCAGATTTCCATCCATTACTTGTCATCCTGTCAACTTTTCACCGTGTAAAGTCAAGCAGAAAAGACAAAGAAATGGTGGCTTTAGGGAAGTCTGCTCTGAAGGAAAGGAAACTTGCCTTTTGTCTCTTTCTCAGCGCCCTTTTCTCCTGTTCGTTGCCTTTCAAATGTTATGTTGTGTAGCGTTTCCCAATATGTCTCTGTGCAGCTTAGCACTGGCAGGTTTCCGTCCATTGTTGACAAGCTTTAAGTGGGCAAGGATTTGGTGAGACATTTTATTAAAATATAACACACCATTGTTAAAGAGAGCATTTATATTACTTTTTCTGCTCATTTTTATATGACTGCCCTTTTGGCATAGTTGTAAATCTAACCATTCTTGCTATTTCCAGGTTGTCCAATATTAGCTTCAATTTTTTCAGTGCTCAGCTTGTTTGAATCACCCTGGCTCTGAAAGGAGAACATGTCACTCCAATAATCACACAGTTAACATTTGAATTATCCCTCAAGTGGCCACCTTCAACCAAAACCAGGATAAAACATTTTCAAACATGACATCGACCCCTTTCTGTCTTTTACGTTAAACGAGCTTTGAGACTAGACATGCCAGCTAATCCATTTCACATTTATAATGAAATTTGTTCTGAATATATAAAGCTTTTGGGTGAAAAATGTTATGTTGAACTTTTTCTTATTTAATTCAGCTTTCACTCATAAAAATAAAAAAAATTCTAGCTTCACGTGATGGAAAGTAACACTGCCATCACTGTTTCACTGGGAAAGGTGTGTTTTTTTTTTGTTTTTTTTACATTTTTTTTTGTTCTTGTTGCAAACATCCCATTTGAAATTAAGGCTCAAAAGTGAAAGTCTGGGAAATATTAACCAGGACTGGTCTCTCAACTCTAGTTCTTATTCGAAATATGTAGAAAATAAAATGATAACAAATAATAAATAATAACAGTCTTTATTGTCATTATAAAACCATGCAATGGTTTACATAGATTATAATGAAATTAATAAAAATACTGCTACAGGATATTTAATGCCTTTATCTACTGGGTATAAACTGTTCTTCAGTCTGTTAGTTCTTGCTGTATCTGCAGCCAGATGGCAGCAGCTGGAACAAATTGTGACAAGAGCGTAGATCCCATCTCATTTTTTGGGGGACCATAAACAGGAAAATTTCTTAAGACCAATTTTGGAGGGGTCGGCAAAGTTAGAGTGAAATGTAACTTAAAATGTGGTTTAAAGAGTTTTTAAACCACAT